TCACAAGGCTAAATTTTATTTGCCCTGATAGGTAATCTTATGAATATGAAGGCTTTGGACCAAAATTTTAGGTAAAGCAGTCTCCACAGCAGTTTTATTTTTAAAAACCCCTTTTTATCCTTTTTTAGTTTCACATAAGTTTGGGGTTAAGTATTCAAACATTTACATTTTAGCTAAGACTAGCTGAATTATATAAGAAAAACATAATCTCCAAGTGGCCTTGAATTTCAGCAACGAATTTAGTTTTTGGTTTGCCAATCTGGTTTGCTCGATTAGTCTACGTGGGTGAGGAAGCATTTTAGCAAAAGGTATTTACAGTTTTTTGGTGGTTTTTTTTTGGTTTGGTTTGGTTTGAGGCTTTTTTTTGTTTTATTTTGTTTGCCCTTGACTTTTTCTGGCTTATGCGTGGTTGACAAAGCAAAATTTTTATGCGGTACAGAGAGACCTTATATTATTGCTCTGAGCTCAAGATTTTGACCTGTTTGATCTGAGAGCCTAACTTCTATAAACATTTATCTCGTTATTTCCTTTTTAGATTATCAATCTTTTAATTAACTCCATCACTCTAAGTGTTTGTTAGCCAAACAAACCTATGTTTACATTTCTAAAAGGGGTGACTCTTAGATGTACAAGGATAGGTTGTTACACGGAGCTGTTGTAATTTGAAAGCCCTCTTTTTCTTATCTTCGCTGAAATGTCCTAAGAAAAACTTCTGAGTGGCTTTTGAAATTAACCACAGTAGATTATCTTAACAAGTGAAAAAGTCAACAGATTCAGAGTAGCAGAGAGGAAGAAGAAAAGAAAAAAAGAAGAGAAGTTGTAATTCTCTATATACTAGCGTTTTATTTTAACCCTATAGTTGCAGTTTCTTAATTTGATACCAAGAAATGCAAGCATGGGGACTTCGAATGAGTCATATGATGGCCATTGATTTTAAAATATGCATGAAGAAAAGCCGTGTAGATAGCTGGAGTCCCAGAAAACCTGGCAAGCCTTAATATTTGAGAATCCCATTCTGTTTCTTATTAATCTCTCCAGAGCAAAGAAATCCTATAAATGCTGTCAGGGACTATCAGGAGTTGAGACTGGTGTTTTAGATGGTGATAATGACCCTCATGGCTTTAACTGGCCATTTCGTGCCCACCATTTAGAATGTTCATTTTTGCTACTGGAAGATTTTCAGAAACAAGCAAGGGAAAAAGAGCCAAATCATTTATAGACGTAAGTAACCAAACTAAATTGAAACCAAAATCAGAGTGCTCACAAGAATTTCACCCCAGGCAGGCAGATCAAACAAAAGGTTAAGACAGAATGTAAATTCTGCAGAAACCAGAGAACTCAAACCAGAAGAACATTGTCTTCATAGCACAAAAGTCAAAGAGTCTTTTATCATCCTAGGGGGAATGAAAGGTCCTTTATTAAGATGGCCTTAAGACCAAATCAGATCCTGAATAAAGTCAGAAGGAACTCACCAAAGGGTGGGAGTCCATGAATCTAGAAGGAGATTCATGAGGGCAGAAAATGCAACTCCCGGAAGTTGCATTAAGTCAACTTCCGTTAAGTCAACCTGAACAGCAAACAGAGAGGGAGACTCTCTAAAAGAAAATGATATTTATTTGGGAAGGGGCGTTGCAATGGGAATACATGTGCCATGGTAACTACGTACATATTCAGGAAGGTAAAGGAAGATAAAGTTGTTGTTTTTTTTAAATGAGGAGGATTACATAATTGTTCTGAGATCATTATCCTTGGCTGCAAGGATCAATAACAAAGGTGGCATCAGTCCAAGGTTGGACAGGCAGTTGCTGGGCAGATGTCCTTGCAGAAGCATTTTTTTGTGTAAAGATGTGATGGCCTTCATGCAAAGTTGTGCTTTTTGCAGAGTCTTTTGTGATCATTTTTGTTATCAGGCATTAGTGCATGAGAATCCTCCCTTCATGGCTTTCCCTGGCTCTGTTGTTCAGGTTTTTGTTTTTTAACACAAGTGACTCCATTTTGATTCTGACAACTTTTGCACAGCAAGCTGTTCCCATACTTCTTGTCCCCACATGAGGGATTCTTTAAGGGTCCAGTCACTCAGTTGTTATTTTCCTGACCAGATGGCTAGGCTGTTGGCAATGGTCCATAAGTTGGCGAAAATATAGCAAGATATGGTGGGAGGGGCTACCAGCATGGCCATCATCACTGTATGTAGTTTGGACAGAACAACCATGTTCAGTCTCAGTCAAAAGATGGCTATCTACTAGCTGGATGGCAGCAGTACCCTCATGAATCCTGTCTACCTTTAGTTTGGCAGGGCTGTTGGTAAACCATACCGTACCATTGGTAGGCAAGTTTTTGAGTCTTGGGCTCCGGGTAGCCACCAGAAGAGCCAAAGCATCGTCTACAACTTACTTGGTCCCTTCTGATAAGCTAGCCATTTGTTCATAGAGACTACTGGTCCCTTGGGGTCCCAGTTAAACACCATTTTAAATGTGCCAGTTCATTTAATAATTGAGCTCTGTTGGGCCTGTCTAGTTTCATTGCTGGGGTTTATAAGCACCCAAGTGAGAATGGGCAGTTCATGTCCTAGCATCACAGGAGGCACAGTGGCCTTAAGATGCTCAGTCTCCAGAGACTGGTGCCCAGTAGCAAACAAGCAGTTGCCGTGTAGAAGGGTATGTATATCTGGTGGCTGCCTCAGGCAACTTACTTGTCCAAAATCTGAGAGGCTGGTACACCCTTGAAGCAGTTTTCTCTTGCCAAGGACTCCAATCAGCATGCCTGGAGGTTTCAGGCATCTGTGATTTTCTCAGGCTAGCAGGCTCTAAAAGTTCTAAAAAGCAGTGCCTAGACCACAACTTGTTGAATGGCATCCAAGGCCTGTTGTGGCAAAGGACCCCATTTAAAGTCAATGACTTTGTTGGTCACCTTAAGTAAGGGGCCAAAGGACACTCAGGTTGGGTACATGCTGTCTCCAGCACCCAAAGAGGCCTAGCAGCTGTTGAGTGTTGTAAGGGGCAACTGTTTGGATTGCCTACGTCTGGGATACTTCCTTGGCTCTCAGCCCAAGTGGCCTTGGCATTTAGCCTGAGATAGTCTATTGTTAGTCTCCATGCCCAGGAGGCCTTTCTGACTGCCAAACTGGGCTGTTACATTGTGACAATGCTATTTGTGACATTTTTATCCATGTTAAATCCTGATTTCATAAGGCAATGTACGATCCTGCACTCAGTCTGGAGAACAGCTTTTGTTGAATAATCCATTGGGGGTTAGGTAGCATAGATGGCAGGCAGGAGTGCATGTGCCCCACTGTTATCGCTGGAATTCTTAGCTGTGAGAGGCCATTGCCCCTCAGATAGAGGTGACATTCTGTGCCACAAGCAGCCAAAATGTCAGTGTCAATAATGTACTCAGTAGTGGGAACCATGGTCACCAACACCCAAAATGGCCCAAAGGGCCCCACACACTCACCAGCAGGGAAGCACCACAGGGTCACTGTATTTGTCCTAAAACCTCCCAATATCATCAGTTTAAATTTTCCCCTAAAGCAACCAGGAGATATTTTCATGTGCGCTCCAGTGTCCAAGAACCCCAGGAACATCTGAACTCTCCTCTTGGCAGGACTATATGGCCATTGGCCTCCAGTGGGGACCCAGATACCTCAGTCCCTCCCCTACCTGTGCCATTTGGGTCTGCAGAGTCCCTTTGTCAAACAAACACACCAACCAAGCTGCATGAGACTCAGCTTCCCTGGCTCCTGTCTGCATCTGTCCTTGGGCTCAAGAGTCACCCTCTCTGTAAAGGCCACATTGCACATTTTGGTTCCCTCTCAGATATCTCAAGGACAGTTACAGGACTTCTTTTTCATTCTCTCTCAGATGCCTCAGGGTGCATTCAGGTACCCACTTCCTGAGCTCTTGGGCCTCAGGAATGGCTGATCACGTATGGGTGCTGAGCTTCCTGGTTCCATATTGTTTTCTCTGCCTCAGTCCCCGCAGCCAGCTCACCCTCATCTTTGTGTGTGTGTGCGTGTGTGTGTGTGTGTGTGTGTGTGTGTGTGTGTGAGAGAGAGAGAGAGAGAGAGAGAGAGAGAGATAGAGATGTCCCTCTTCTCACTCCTCTCTCCCCATAAAACATCTTGCCACATGTCCAGCCCTGGCACCCCTAGTCTGATGTCCCCACCCTGCACCAGGTACAGGGTGGGGTGTTGCCCCTTTGCTTTACCAACAAGCCATGGTTCCTCAGGTTGAATCCTGCTTGCTGTGGCAATTTAGTGAAGCAGGTTCACTGAGCACTGGGTACCAACTTGTCTGAGTCCAGTAAGACAGAGCACACTCATATGCAGCAACATACACGAAGTAGATTTAATGCTTACAGATAAGCAGCCAGGGACAGCAGAAGCCTAGGATTCATTGCCAGTTGGCCGCCCAAGGCTCAGGAAAGAAGCCCAGTGCAAACAGAATCTCATCTCTGAGTTCCTCACTTGCACTGCAGCTGAGGGGCCTCAGAAAGCACCAGTCCTGTGTTTTATATCCTGGTAATATGTGACTCACTGGGCTAAAGTGTTAGAGGACATCCTATTTCTAGGGGGAACTGGAACAGAGCTCTGGCTGTTCTCCCTTCCTTTCAGGATGTTATACCTCAAGCACATTCTATGTATTTTGTGTTGTATTCTTGACATTGTGAATGTTACTGCGGATAAACTCTGGGTTCAGTTATAATTCTCCCCATGGGCTTCCTTCTCCAAGTTTTGACTCCCCTCTACAATCTTCCTGCTTATGTTTAATTTTTCTTTTTGTACTTTGTTCAATGTGTCTGATAGAATCATTGAGAGAGAAAAGCTGTAGTTGGCTTACTCCATCTTGTCTGTAAGTCTGGTCTTGTTTGTCACTTTCTCAAATGTGAACAAAAAATATACATTGAACACATAAACAAAGAAATGAACTGCCTACGTACCAAACTCTTTTTGGATCTGTGTTTGAATTTTTTTTCTTTGTTTCTTTTTCTTTTTCTGGCAGTTCATCCAATGAGTCCCTTTAATGTCCAATTTGAAAATGTAAGCGCCACAGATGCCGTCATCACCTGGAAGGTGCACTCCACTGGGGACTATTTCACATTTTTGTGTCAGGTTGAACTCCATGGCGAAGGAAAAATGATACAAGTAAGAACACAGCTTAATTTTCTCTTTTCAAAAACCCTTTTATGTCCTGAATAAAATCAATTTAAACTCTTGGCCGGGCGCGGTGGCTCACGCCTGTAATCCTAGCTCTCTGGGAGGCTGAGG